GACTGAGGAACACAACCCCAAGTATGAAAGTGTGGGGCAGCCATCAAGACTAATGATGGACCCAAAGTGAGGCTGAAAAAAACATGGGTGTGAATCTCAAATGCTGTGCTAGGAGGTTCAGACACTACCCTACAGGCAGGGTTTGGCAGGTTGAGATCTGTATTTTTTAAAAGATAATCCTGTGGAGGTAGGGTGGTAGGAGAAACAAGGCAGAGAGAAAAGCTTAGAAGCTTGTTATGGTTATATGTGGTTATAAAGCAGACTCTTCTCTCCATTTTCTTCTCCTTTCCCAGTCCTCTCTTTTCTCACCCCTTCTTCAGGTATCACCCTCTTCTAGAACAGAGATGTCAGCCGCCTCTGTTTGCCCAGCTCATGTGGAAGTGTCTAGCTGTGTGATTAACCTCCATACTCTTCTTTACTAAGCTGCCAGGTGGGGGTTAGCATCAAACACTGCTTCCTTCCAGCACCGGACATGTTTGCTGGCATTGCTAGAAGACATCAGAGGAGCCAGGTCTAAGAGAAGAGTCCACATGAAGCCTCTTGTGAGCTCAGGAGTTTCGTGGCGTGGATGATTGTCCCCATTCGTGACTCTTTTTAGTACCACTGTAATGATGTGCATATGCCAGCCAGGCAGATAAATAAATAGTGGAGGCTCTCTTACGTCTCAATTAAATTTTATGATTAAATAGAGTCATAAAAACTCACAGAAGACAAAGTCTTTTTTTTTTGTTTTTTTTTGCGGTACGCTGGCCTCTCATTGCTGTGGCTTCTCCCGTTGCGGAGCACAGGCTCCAGACGCGCAGGCTCAGCGGCCATGGCTCACGGGCCCAGCCGCTCCGCGGCATGTGGGATCTTCCCGGACTGGGGCACGAACCCGTGTCCCCTGCGTCGGCAGGCGGACTCTCAACCACTGCGCCACCAGGGAAGCCCCCATACTCTTATCTTTTCCAAGTCTGTGGCCTTTTGGGGGCAGGCTCAAGGAGGAAGTCCCCACTTCAGTCTTTGCAATTCCCAGCACCTCAATCCACTGATGTTCTGGCTGGCTCCAGCCAGCCTGGGATTCGGTGACTCAGATATCACTGCTCTGTTCCCACCTGCCACATCACCAATGTGGCTAGCCCTCTGTTGCCAGCCAAACTGGGGAGAGCATTAGATGGCTACATAGCCTCCTGAGGCCCAGCACACTGTATTGGGCCAGGATTTGGGACTATGCCTCTGCCTTTCTACCCTGACTCACAAATCTAATCTGCAGTTGACCTGGGAGACTTGCCTGGAAGAACAGTCCTCTCTAGGCTTGAAGGTTGCCCTGAGCATGGCCTGGTCAGCTTGGGCTGGCATACAGTGGGCACTTTTGAGGACTATCTGCTGCATGAATGAACACAAGCCCACTCATTTTACTTCATCAGCCTCAATCTCTCTTCTCAGAGCAGTGGTTTGACCTTGCACATACCACTTGGGTATCTGATTTCATTTGATACCTTTAATTTTGCTACGGTCACCATCAGGAGTGCAAAGACTGAGACAAGATGATCAGATAACTGGGGCAGCCAGTAGTCACTGACAAGAATGAGGAGTGACCATAGAAAACAGAGGTGATCACAAGAGAGGACACAAGAAAAGCACCAAGCAGAGCAGCACACCCATGTAGGGGTCATTTAGTTTGGGAGCAAATGGCTCTCTACACCTCAAACACACAAGCAAAATGGCTGGTAAAATTCAATGAAAGAACAAGGTAAGATCCCCACAATTCTACAGCCCTAGAGGGCATCAATACATCAAAGTTTAGTTTAGTACCATGTTCCAAACAGGGACCTGAGTCATCAAGAAAAGGTTATGATACCTTTTATAAAACCTTTATATCAATGAAATGATATTCACTGTACTTTATCAACAGGCTGCCAAGAACGAATACATTTTAGAAACATTCTTTCTAAAAAATGCAAATTTTCTCACTGATGTCAGAGCTTAAAGTAGTATCAGTTAGCTAGACAGCAAGGGCCACCTCATTCCCCAATGATATCAGATGGCTAAGGCATCACGGCACGCATAGACACACACCACTTACAATGAACCAAAGTACTTTTCAGCTCAGGTATTCAGGGACTTGGAGAGGGCCTGATTATGAGTTTTACAGTAAGAAGTTCTTTTGAGAGAAGCAACTTTGAGGCAAAGATGGTATCTCTAAGACAGCACTCAGATCCTGAGTTAGCCAGGTCCAAACCAGACAAGCTCCACCCCCTAAAATTAAACTAAATTTCCCAGATTTCTCTTTGGAGCCTGATTCTCTTGGTACCTTGGCTACTCACCCGGTTCCTGTTCTGTGGTTCAAATCTCATGTTCACGATTCTTACTACTCTGTTTAACTTTTGGTGTCTTTATTTGGATATGCGGTGGCTGACTCTGGCTTTGTCCCACGATCCCACCTCCTGTCTCTCAACTCCTGACATTCACCCCTGGCTACTCTAGCGCCGGCTCCTATCCACTTGATCTTGTTTTATTACTTCTTTGTTCTTTGCCAGGCCATGCTAGGAGGTCAAGGGACATCCACATAAATAATAAGTAATAAATAAAGTACGTTACCCTGGGCTTTCCTTAGCTATTTTGTACATGACTCCAAATATATCCATCTTGTTTGAATTAGATTCCCTTGGGGTGGTACTTTTTGATTTGACTTTTCCCGAAGAGAAACAGTATATACTGTCATTGGATAGCCATTTCATAATGAGGTATATCCCATGCCCAAAGAGTAAGATGGTTCAAATCCTGGCTGGTTATATTCATTCAGAAATAGAAGCCCTAAATGTCGGATGTAAATGAAGACAGACAGTTAATTGTCCTCTGGGATCTAAAAGGGCAGACTTAGCCATTACGGAAGAGGTTCTCAAACTTTCATGTGCAAAGAGTTGGGAAGCTAGTAAAATGTAGATTCCTGGGCTCTACCCCTAGAAAGTCTAATTCAGAGATCTGGGTCCAAGAATCTGCATTTTAAACAAGAGTCTTAGGCAATCCTGATGTAGTTAGTCCTTGGACTACCCTTTGAGAACCACTATATCACAGCAATGAGAAATCTGACAAACATGGGGCAAGCACAGTAATTAAAAGATCCCACCAATCCTTCCTTTCTTAGAAGCTATGATGCACCTTGCCTAAGGCAGGTCACCTGGCCAACTCTTTCCTAATACTCTTATTCCCAATCATCAGCTTGGTTCCAAGATCAACTTAATGTTTGTTTTAAAAATATATGTGAATTCCCCAAGTTTCCATAAAAAAGATATTTGAATGTTTTTAGAGTAAATGGGAATATAGACGCCTAAGTTATAGTGTTCTCTCAACTGAGGAAGAAGCGCTATAGAGAAAAATATACGATTTAAGCTACAAGCTACTGTCCTTCATCACACATACCTTCTCTTCTTAGAACATCTCCCTGTGATGATTTCAAAAGTCTCAAGATTTTACCCAAATCAAACAAGCAAAATACATTAAATTTAATAGCAATCACTGCTACTTTAAATAAGGAATGAAAACATCCATTTGATCCAGAAAACCTTCAAACGAGCTCTCCAGCAATACCTGTGTTACTGGTGAAGGTAACTGTACCTGAACATTCTGATGCCCAGGAGCCTGGCAGACCAAGAACAGCAGAGCCCAGGAAAGACAGCAGGCTGTGCACTTCACTGGGTAGGCCATTTCCTTGGGCACGTCCCTAAGCAATCCTGAAGGGGGAGCTCAGGAAAATCAGTTTAATTGGGAGGATTCTGATGGCCATAGGATGCTTTGGGAATCTAAGATGACAGAAGATATTGATGAGCTATGAGATCCAGGAGGCCTGGCTGATATTTGAGATAATGGGGCCTCCATTTGTTTCAGGACGATGCCTTCATTTTTGCACTAACATGGTTTATGGCTTGCAAGGGATATGTGGACTGACTGATGCAGACATTAAGGATGTTGGAGCTCCATTCTTACTATTATTGTGATATGTGTATGTATTTTTTTTTTCCTAGGAGGATCTTTATTTTTTCTCCCAAATCTCATAACTGGTTATACAGATGTTTAATTGAGAGGAATAATTATGAATTATGATATTTTTTCTTTCAAACTTTCCTAACTGAATCATTTATTGCTTACATTACAAGCATTTTAAATATTGTAAAATTAAAGCTTACAAAATAAACATTGCTGGCAGGCAAGCTCAAGCCCAGAAAAACTCAGTTTTTAAAAAACATTAATTTTAAAAAACATTAATTAATCGGAGTTTCTTAACCGGAGTCTTAAACGTTTCTTAATCGGAGTCTTGTATACTATAAGACTGCTAATTTACAGGAAAAAACGGAATTTAAAGTCAGCAACAAAAGTAGTTGACTGAGAAGGAAATTCAGGTAGCTTAACTCCATAAAGGCAAAGGGACAGTGAAACTCGATGGATACGGATGATCAGAGGTAGGATGACTTAACATGTGAGAATACTAGTTAAAAGCACAAAAAGTTAGGAGTATGTTCTGGGGAAAATGCCTAATTAGGAAATTAAACCTGAACTGTTGACCTAGAGCTTCTGAACACTTTTAGCACTCTGCTATGCTTTCAGTAAATAAAGCAAGGAGGATAAATTTTATCCAGCTTATGTTTGCTGTTCAACTCTGACCCTTGCCTACTGAATGACTTTAAATATGTGTTATGGAAAAAATGATACCACTTTAATTTCCGGCTCCATCCCCATCTGGCCAGAGAGAGGATAAATTAATATTATCGTGTTTTGTCTTTAGGGCTTCTGATGCCCCCAAGGACCAGCCTGTGGGACAGTCTGTTTTGGCAGAGAGTCTCGGCTGGAATCAGAAGAGCAGGATTCAGGACAAGGCCAGTTCACGTAACACAGCTCAGAGCCATACAACACAACTTGCTCTGAGGATGTTGGGCATTGTGCTTCATTAGGAAACAAAATATAAGCTTTCCACACCATTAGGAATGACTTTAGGAGTGAAAGCACATAAGACGATGCCTCACCTCATCAACAATGCACTGCAGAAGCTGGAGAGGCTGCAATGGGAAAGAAGAAAGGAAAAAGTATTAGCCTCTATGCAATATCTTTACAGTGGAGTGGAAAGAAAAAATCATTAATGCAATAAAATATAGCAAGATTAATCAACAACAGCAAACTCTTATAAAAACATTGATGCTCAGGATATTCTATTATTTCTAATGGTACCTAATCTAATACAGGCAGTTAAAGGTTTGCATTTTCTTCAAAATGCAATTTGCTAAGTTTAAAACAAGGCATTCAAGCATGCAAAGGAAGCAGCCATCAGGAAAAAGAAAAGTGAATTTTTTTCTGAACTCATAAAGCTTACCATTAAAGATCCCTGGTTTTTCTGAATCTGAAAAAAGGCAATATGTAATTAGCATGTCATAATCAAAATGACTCACTTGGACACATTATGATCACTGAGAGAAAATTATTGCATTGCTGGTGGCAATTTGTGGGCATGTGTTAACACAATTTACATAATGAAAATACACAAATGTTAATAGCTCGCTTCTCATTTATAGGCGAAAGTCAGCAGAATGTTAATTTCACACAACACTTTTTAGTACCCTCCAGGTTGTATTAGAATAGGGAGAAAAACCATAATCCATTTCAAAAGGCTGTTTACGATTCAGATATAAATAATGTTTTATATTGCTAGATTGTGAACACTGGGCTTAATGTTGCAATCATTGCTAATGTCACGAAGCTCACTCTTTTTAAATTAAAAACCGATTTATTTAAAATTGAAATTAAATCATAGTCAGAAATTAGAATTTTGGATTCCTGCCAGTGTCTGCTCACAATCCCCTATTTTGTGAAGAAAACTTTAATTATGTGGTTGAAGTATTTGCCTCTGACTCAGGAGTGGGTAAAGACTCCACCTCTTCCAAAGTTCCTTCAGCAGGGCAGCAATGCTTTCTGGGAAAATCAAATTCATGCAAGTTTTAACACTGTTTTTCAGGGGATAAGAGCAGAGTCAAAGAAGATGCCTGTTCTGGAGGCAGCTGCTCACACAGCTGACACCGATAAACCACATCTCTTAGAAAGTTACTAAAATGTGACACCAAATTAATAAAACATCCACTTAGTAGTTAAAGTATTAAACACTTCGATGTGTGCCCCCCAACCAAAAAAAAAAAAAAAAAAAATTGCCTGCGGTTATTACAAACTCAATGAAAATGTCGTCCCAGGTACTAAATTTCCTAAGGAGGAAAATTTCAGGAACCAAATATGACTATTGAGGAGTCAGTTGTTTGTTGTGATAACTGTGCTTCAACCAGCTGGTAAAATATAGGTAAACTAGTTAATGGTCCCTTATTTGCTTTTTTTTTTTTTTTTTTTGGCGGTACGCGGGCCTCTCACTGTTGTGGTCTCTCCCGTTGCGGAGCACAGGCTCCGGACGCGCAGGCTCAGTGGCCATGGCTCACGGGCCCAGCCGCTCCGTGGCATGTGGGATCTTCCCGGACCGGGGCACGAACCCGTGTCCCCTGCATCGGCAGGCGGACGCGCAACCACTGCGCCACCAGGGAAGCCCCCCTTATATGCTTTTAATGGAGCTTTTAAAAGTTCTTTCACATACACTTTCTCATTAGATCTCACAACCACCCTGAGCTTGGCAGGGATGGTCATCTCTAGTCTATGATGGGAAAAACCGGGCCTCTCAGAGGTGGGCAGGCCCAAGGCCACAGGAGCAGGCTGTGGTTGTGCTGGGGCCTCTCCCGTGCTCCTTTCTCTCCAGCATCATATCTGCCTACAATCACAGCATTCCTTAAAAACAACTGGATTTGCATGTGTTTATACTTGGCATGGTAAAGTTGATAAATGATCAGTTTTGGCACGTGGCTTATTCTCAACTAGACTGTTAAGCTCCTCAAGGGCAGAAGCCATGTTTGCATTTCTTTTGCATCCCTGTGGCTGATCAGCAGACCCTTCCACCGAGTGCTAGATGTTTTAAAAAGTGCTTTCCCATGTATTATCTCAACTGAGCATGGTACCCACTCCTTCCTGCTCTTGGCTCCTCATCATGCCCTCCCCAATCACCACTCCCTGAAACTTCCATCTCAGGTTGATTGGCTCTTAGTCTACTTTGACAGTTCCTACTGAATGTTGTCCTGGTGCTTCTTCTTATTCCTCTAGCCAATGAGTACTTCTGCATAAGGGTCTGTGGGGAAAGATTTACATTAAAAAGGAAGACAGAGCCGTTAACTACCACCTTGGAGTGGTTAGGGTTTTAGTAACAAGCCACAGCACCTTTAAAAAATCATGAAAAAACCCAGGTAAATTCTCCTATGAGATATCTTTGGTGTTTGCTTTTACAGTTGGTCCTTGATCAACATGGGTTGGAACTGTGCAGGTCCACTTATATGTGGCTAGTTTTCATTAGTAAATACTACAGTACTAAATGGTCCACGGTTGGTTGAATCCATGGATGCGAAGGAACCTCGGATACTTGGAAATTGGGGGCCGACTAAATTATATGCAGATTAACCCCCTCGTTGTTCAAGGGTCAACTGTATTTTTTTAAAGTACACACAGGTAAGCACCGCCTCCCACAAACATTCTCAGTAAGATATATCTACTTTAACAGGAGAGTTACTTTTTCTAATGTACACAGAATTAGAAAGCTGTTTTTGACATCAAAGAGAATGTTTTTCATAAATTTCCAATAGTCAGGGGGATTACAAATTCTCTGAGGAAAACATGTAGCAAACATTTTAAGTGACATGTTTCAAAATGAATTCAGGAATGGATTGTGAGACACTGTTCCCAGTAACATGAGTTGCGTGAACTAAATGAAAATTTCCTCATAAACCGAGACCTTAGAAAAAGTTTCCACCCTGCCCTAATCTGTGGGTTAAAAGCATGGTTTAAGACAGCTTAAAATTGTACTATTTTAACACTTGCTCTTTACTACAAGAAAAGGAGAAACAGCAATATCAAAGTCTGTTTTATGATCTTATAACCATACTGTTATACTGTTTTGCCCAGGTTTTTAAAGGGAGACGCTGTTATCAGGTTTTATCACACACTTTTGATAGCAACATAATACATGAAATCATCTTCATAAATTTTGTATTAAGGTAGCAGTGCCAGTACCTGAAATTGATTCAAAATGCTTAAGATACTCACTTTTTAACAGTTACACAATGCAGTGACATATCTTCTATTTCACAAGAATCTGATGATGCAACATCATTGTAATTGATTCATTTCTCAATTAAATAAAGCTACTGTGCTTTTCTTCATATGAATGCCACATAGACCACAGAGTTAGATGTATGATCTCCTTTCTCTGTCTCAGATATATGGCCTTAAGTGCTATATTCTGTTCCTCTGTTAATTCCACCAGAAAATTTAATGTCATGGTCATATTTTTCAAATTCTGAACTGCCATAAACTCAACTGTATTTATATTAGGCATATTTTTCTCTGCTAAACTCTTTGTTGTTTACCTTTTTCAAGATCACATTACTGTACAGGCACAGCATCATAAAACAGATCCAAACAAAGTCAGCCTCCAGTCGTGGCCTCTGCTTTTGCACACAGTTCATGAAAAAGTGAAGCCCCTAGTTTTGAAGCAGATTAAAAGTGGTACTAAGGGTCCTCGATATAAAACGTTAGCTTCGTGAATGCCTCTCTTTATTCTGGGTCTGCCTTGCAAATGCTTAGCTGTGAGAGAAGAGTTCAGAGGGACACAATAACATTGTTAGGGCTCATGTACTGCCTGCACCTCCCAACATATGAGATGTTGTTTATAACTAACTTGTCCAAGTCCACCTTCCTGCCTGTACATTTTGCTTGTGTTGAGCTTTCTATGTCTAACTGATACTTGGGAACAAAGAACAGAACAATAATTGCTCCAGTCATAGGCTTTGCTAATCAGTCTCTAGAACCAGTAGCATTTTGAAACACTATTTAGACAAACCTCTTCCCTCTTCTGGGCATAGATTTTTTTTTTTTTTTCTTTCATCAGCCATTAGATTCAAGATTTTAAGCCACACTAACAGGGGATAGCTATGCCTCATTCTAATATAAGACAGACCCTTATGTGTTTAAATGGGGAAGAATGACTTCACAACAGGCAGGCCTAAAAATCAGTTAGGTCTGATATTTTAGGGTATTACTGCAGTCATATGTACCTTGTATTTCCTTGCAAGGGCCATACAGTTGAGTTGGCAATTAAAAAGCTCCCATAATATGACTTGGCACTTAGGAAAACGAACCTGGAAAGGAAACTGCCAATGCAAAAGTTTGCTCATGGGGCCTCAGCTATTTAATCAATGACTCTGGTGATAAAAATCAACTTTGGAAGGCTCACATTATGCTTCTATTTCTATAGGGGTACTTTTTACACACACAGTGGTAAAGCAGACCTTGCTACCAGCGCTTTTATATTATATTCAGAAGCACAATCAGAAAACTGAAATGAATCCACCTATGTAACTTAGAGAAGACACCAGCTATAGCTTTCATTTTCTCTTTTACTCTCTGAAATTATGGCCTGCCCTGCAGCTCTTGTCTGAGAGATTAATGTGTGACCTGGGTCAGATCTTGCAATATCAGATGACAAATTTTCTCTTTACATATTTACTGCTTTTCAAGCTTGTGTTATTTTCTCTTAAATAGAAAAAAGAAATATAAAATTAAATTATATGGTTGGGATTTTAAAAGAATATCGTTTTTATTTGTTGTGCTCCTGGCATTACATTCTAGCTTTCAATGTTGAACTCTATTCTCTTTTTAAATTTCAAATTTTAGAAACTGTAGTTATTTTGCAAGGACTCTTCTTTTTTGCGGGGGTGGGGGGGGGTTCCTTTTTAGGCCGTGCCACGTGGCATGCGGGATCTTAGTTCCCCGACCAGGGATCAAACCCGTGCCCCTTGCATTGGAAGTACGGAGTCTTAACCACTGGACCTCCAGGGAAGTCCCAAGGACTCTCTTTTCAAATCAGATTCATTAAGCTATAACTCTGGCTAAATATAAACAGGGATTATGGCAAACTGAGATTTTATATTCAAAATGAAGAATAATGACCTAATTTTTTTTTTTTTTTGGCGATGGAAGGGACCTCCAAGATCTACTCATTTTGCTGTTAGGGAAACTGACATTCAGAGGGGAACAGTGCCCAAGGCCACAGATAGAACCTGGCTTAGAACTGACTGCTGACTCACAAGGCTCCCTAGTATGGGGACAAATGCATAAACTTTGGGAGTCAGAAAGATCCCTGGAATTCCAGTCAGATCCCCATGGCTTCAGAAGCTCCCTCCCTTCACTAGGCTTAGGGCTCTTGTCTAGAAAGTAAAGGATGAGCTAGAGGGGCCCAAAGGCCCCCAACCCCCCAAGCTGCCC